CCCGCATGAATTTCATGCATGGGGCCTCTAGTTTATATATAAAGAATATAGAACTATATTCTTGCTATTGCTCAGTTATGGTCCATATTTTAGAGAATTAAAGTAACTCAACAGGACAAGAGTTCATTCCTCTTGGCACACAGCAGAGCCAAACACCGAATACCCAGTTTTGCAGTGGTGAAAGTACAGTCATTTTTTTTTTTTCAGAATGCTAAGCAAGAAAAATGGAAAGCTGTATTACTTAACACCAGATCTTCCAAATGACTTATCATTTGGGGCTTTTAAGGGCAAAAGTCATGAGTAAGGGGTTCAGGGTCATGGGCTGTGTTGATTGGTCAATTTCTATGCCAACTTCAGCAATCTGATTTATTCAGCTCCTAGTGGGAACCTGCCCTGGTCTAATTAACTATGACTGTAGTTGAACAGAAAGAGAGTTAAGTAAAACATCTTGGGTTTGATTGTGAGTCAGTTACATTATCTTAAGAACAGAAAGAAAAGAACAAGGCTATATATTTCATGCTTACCAGGCTATATTCTTCTGTCATCTTAAGCAGAGAATACCTTCTTAAACTTTCTTTACAGTCAGGCCTGCATACTCCAAGACATGACTACATTCCAGTGCAACTATGACTCTTGAGAAGGACTAATTTAATCATTTTAACTAACAGCTATATTCTAATATATCTAGTCTGTTATGATTTGCTATTTCATTAATATCCATAATATGATAGAACTCTTATTCTAATAAACCTAATGCAAATTGTATCAGAATATTTCATTAATTTTTCATGTCAGAGAAAGTGCATATGCAAACATATATTACCTCAGTATACCATTAATGGCATATGCATTTGAAAAAAAGTCATGATTAATGGTATATTGAGATGATATGTTTGCATATGCCATTTTGATGCTGTGTTAGGGAATGTTTTAGGTATGCTATGTATAGGCAGATGGAGATTTTTAAATACATAAACTGCAACTCAGTCTGTTCAGTTGAGTCATTTAACTTGTATGAGAGAACGAAGAATAATACTTGATTTTTCTGTACAGGAAGAAATTGTCTTTTAACATTCCCTTTTTTGATTGGTTAACAGCTTGTGGGTAGGTGCAATATGGGATTATCATTACTTGGATACTTCAGGATATGAAAGGATTGACCAGAAAAAAAAATGTACAGGAAAATGTCAGAAAGCTCTAGGGAACAAACTATTTGGTTGAAAATAGGCAAAAGGAACAAATTATCAATAATTAGAGAAAGAGATCTTAGAAATTCAGTTATGCATTCTTGAAAGCAATGGCAAAATTATAGGATTTATTTGTTTGTACCATTCTCACTCCGAAAAGGATTAAAGATAAAGTAGATAGGTTATTTATCTTGGTAATATGGCAAGGTGGATGGAAGGGGAGAACCTTATTTTCTTACTACAAAGTTTTTCTCTTGTGTGGGTTTGCTGCCATCTTGTTCATCTGATTGAATAACATATTTGGGCAGCTCAGTGGGCGACTACATAATCTTTCCAATTCCTAACACTAATGTTGATATCAAATAAGTATTCTCAATAATACTTATCAAATCACTCCATTTACCCTCCTGTATCCTAGTGAAAAATATCTTGCCTTAATAATGTCTGTACATGTAAACTTTTAAGCTTTTATTATGTAATAGGTCATAATATCAGTGTTATTAAATGTAATGAGTAATATTTTACCTTAAAGCTCTAATCTAGACTAAAACTTGCACTACTTTTTTTTTTTTAGGACAGCAAGTAGAGGGGACTTCATGTTTTCTGCAGATCGTTTGGTAGGTGGAAGCTTTCCATTTTCATTTTATTGTTTGTCTTAGTGATATAACCATAATAGGCCAAAGGTTTTTTTTTTTTTATTATTTAGAGCATTCTGGGTGTGAGAGATTGTACCAAGTAACCACCATCTTGCTAGACTAGATTGTACCAAGTAACCACCATCTTGCTAGACTTCTGAAGTATTGTTTCTACTGTTGCATTAAAACTCTGTCTCAGTCCCTTTCACCTCAAAGCATTTTCCATAAACTCATTTTCTATAGCTCTCAGGTACTCCTACCTCTCAAATTGATCTTGGTAACCTTGTTATCAGTAACCCTTAAATGCCTCATTTTAGGGCAGTAAAGTGAAGTACATTTAAAGAAAACCAAAGATGTAAGGAGACCTAGTAGTTAGTTACCCTGTGATATCCATCTAATGCACAAAAATTAATAAGTCTCCTATAGTTTACATGGGAGGAATTTATTTAGCCTCTTCTTTTCTGTACTATCCTTGCATGTGAAATATTGAGTTGGACTATCTACAATTTCCTCAGGGACTTTCTGTTAAGGGTTGACCAAGTTCAATTCTGTTTAGCTAGTATGATCTGAGAGGATCTCAGACCAGATTGTGTTGTCTTCAGGGTAAATACTGTGTTTCCCTCTTATGTTTATATCTAAGTATTCTCAGTGCTTACAATGAGGTTGACACATTTTCTGCTGTGGTTATTAATATTCAGCCAGTCCTGAAATATATATATATATATTGAACTCCTGTAAGTCAGGCACTGTGCTAGGCTGTGTTGCTGGGGGAGAAGATAGAGTAGTAAAGAATACAAGGCTTCTCTCTAGCTCGTCTTCAGTTGTTTTTTCAGGATGATTTTTCTATATTTTAGTTGTAATTCCAGTTTGGTCCTGGGAGAAGGTCAGTGTAGCTTCCACTTAATTCTACACCATCTTGGAATCTCCCAGCAGTAAAGAATACAGATACATGGTCCCTGCTCTCATAGAGTTTACAATCTAAATATTATTGGCAGTATTGCATTTGGGAAAGAGAGAAAAGTAGTTTATTAATTTTCACTGACATTTTTCCTAGGAAAATCTTTATTTCAAAAAAGTGTAGACAACTGTTCTACTTTTGGCTTTAAATATTCTTAGTTCAGAGGCAAATTCTGTTTACAATTATTTGAGTTTGTAAGGGCAGTAATAACCTTTGGATTTCATTGAGATAAATGTAATGGACACTTCTGGAGTAATAGGTCATTATGCTTTTATCAAACTAAAGGAACAGGTTCAAGGAGGAAGGAACTTGTGTCAGTGCCTGCTGTGGGGAAAACAGAGGTCCTGGTATTCAATGGTAGAAAATGGTTCCCCTTTCTTTTCCTTTCCTTTCCTTTCCTTTCCTTTCCTTTCCTTTCCTTTCCTTTCCTTTCCTTTCCGTTCCTTTCCTTTTCATTTTTCTTCTTTCCTTATGTCCTTTTTCTACAGAAAATAGGAGTTAAGTTTGTGGTTATTGTAAAATACTTATTAGGAAACATATGAAAACATGCTCAAAGTCACTAATCATCTGAGAGATGCAAATCAAAATGACAATGAGGTACAATCTCACACCTGTCAGAATGGCTATCATCAACAAATCAACAAACGACAAGTGCTGGTGAGGATGTGGAGAAAAAAGAACCCTTGTGCACTGCTGGTGGGAATGCAGACTGATGCAGTCACTGTGGAGGAGACAAAGAAGCATTGAATAGACTATAAAACTTCAGAGGGAAGGCAGGGGGCTGGGGCAGGGGGGCAGAGGTAAGAAGATCAACCAAAGGACTTGTATGCATGCATACAAGCATAACTCATGGACAGAAACACTAAGGGGTGAGGGGCATGTGCCAGGGAGAGAGGGAGGTGGGGGGAGGTCAATGAGGGGAAAAGAAGACATATGTACTACTATTTGTAATATTTTAAACAATAAAAAACTACTTAGCTGAAAGAGCAGGCATTATATCTTTTTTTTT